ACAATAAACGTCGCTTCTGGGATACAGACAACAATGCTCCAATTTAATGTTTTTTTGGGGGGGAAATGTAAAAGCACACCATTCATGTATGAACCAAAAATGCAAAAAAACACCTCTGCAACACACAGCCATAAATTAAAGAATAGGAATATAAACCATATACCACCCTGTTGTGCTTGAAGTCCGCAGTAGTCGATGCAAACTTCAGGGAGTTTTGGAGCATGTGTGCTTTAGCCCCACCAGGAACTGAACGCGCAGTAGCATAATATATCCTGAGGTTATGAAAAGGTATAAATGCTTGCATCCAGCTTTCTTATCTTATGAGATGAATCATCCACAAGGAGTGCTTTTCTTGGTTGCCATGGCATTCTAGACTTCAAAATGCTAACCTAAAAGGCCACTACTAGCACCCAAAATTTATGAGCGGCTGTTGCATTCATGCCCTCCCCAGAGATACACTTAGCACATACTATTCTCCATTTCACTATGGGTCAAGTTGATGGTCTCCTGTATCTAGTTTCTAACCATGGAAATAGAGGAAACAAGACAGGGAAAAGTTAGGAACTCTGAAAGACCACAAAAGGGAAAGCACTGTAGAATTCCTTCCTAGTCATATGTGTTAAGAGACTTGTGTGGATATCACATCACATATTATTTATTTAGCAGAGTTCCGGCCCACTCTTCATTAAAAATAATCTCAGAATAGGCTCCGATATAACAAACACAATAAAGCATTAAGTTATATAAGGCAAATAGAACACCAACACCAGTATTATACAGATAACCCCCCAGCAACACCAAAATATCACCCAACATCTTTCTTTGAATTTATATATTCACTGGCCGCTGTGGCTGTCTATATAAAACAGACAAACCTAACGAGTTAACACACAATAAAAAGACTGCATTGACAGGTCCAGAGGCTTTAGTAAATGTTCCATGCAAACTCCAAACAAAATTAGAAATAAATTTTAATGGCACAGATGTATGCAGGATTAAGGTATGATCAAGGCCACTGAAAATCAACTGATTTACAACACATCTAACTGCACAGGGTGAGTTGTAAGAAAACGAGACCTTGATGCACCGCGGAAGGAAAATATTAACATCTACAAAAGCTATTATGTAACAAACTGACAGAGAAGGTCTAGTGAGAGTCAAAGACAACCTTCCAGTTGCTAAGTTACTCATAACTGATTCACATATGCTTTGGGGGGGGGGGACAAGGCACCAAAAACTTATAAATATTACTTTCAGAAATCATGCTTTAAAAATGATAGGAAGAGGATGTACCCCAAATACTTTACGGTTCAGCTTTTTCGCATGCTCCTATTATTTTTTACAGGGGACGCGGGTGGCGCTGTGGGTAAAAGCCTCAGCGCCTAGGGCTTGCCGATCGAAAGGTCGGCGGTTCGAATCCCCGTGGCGGGGTGCGCTCCCGCTGCTCGGTCCCAGCGCCTGCCAACCTAGCAGTTCGAAAGCACCCCCGGGTGCAAGTAGATAAATAGGGACTGCTTACCAGCGGGAAGGTAAACGGTGTTCTGTGTGCTGCGCTGGCTCGCCAGATGCAGCTTTGTCACGCTGGCCACGTGATCCGGAAGTGTCTCCGGACAGCGCTGGCTCCCGGCCTATAGAGTGAGATGAGCGCACAACCCTAGAGTCTGGCAAGACTGGCCCGTACGGGCAGGGGTACCTTTACCTTTATTATTTTTTACCACATATATTAACTGTCAGCTTATGATTCTGGTTTTTATATAATATGTGCCGCTTATAAGGAAATAATTAATCAGTGATCTAGTACACCAAGCATGAAAAAAAGGGTAGTTAACACTCCCATAATCCATACCTATCCTGTCATTTCTTATGAAATGCTGCATTTGGGTTTTTTCCCTTCGAACCAGGTTTGATCCGGATTGAGAAAAAGAGTGACCTTTCAAGTTGGTTATGTGTGCACAGTCTAAGTGAAGCACATTTGCTGAAACAGGCTGTTGCTTATGCCTGCTCACGACACAATAGCCAGTTTATACAGGGCTTCAAATGATTGAAATGAGTCAAAAGCTTGGTACTAAGGCCTGTGACTCATTTATTCTGTAACGGTGTGGTAACCTTGCTGAGAAAGGTTCTCCATCTGTCAACAAAGACCTTGTTGAGAAACTCCAGAACAATTTCTACCATCCCCATGTACCTGCCTAGAAAGATAAGAGATCTATTTGCCTTATTTTCTTCAAGGTTCTATTTGTCAGTCAACTTTTAAAAAGTACACCATACCAGAATGAGCCCTATATTCTGGTAAATATCAATAAAATCCACTGATCTTGCTGGAAGCGAAGATCAGAAATAACCACAACAGTGGTTTTTAAACTTCCAACTCTTAGTGAGCCCTTTCCACATGAACTTGCCTGCTGAAGAATTCCATGCACTCTTAAAAGTTGCTTCACACAGTAGTGGACAGCTATGACATCAAGTGATGACATGCCTATATGAATGGACCATCACAGACCTTTCTGTAACCTCAGATGCAATGCTTTCCAACAGAATCAGTTCATACAACCAGCATCATTAGGCAGAGCCTTCCTCTAATGGTGCGCTGTAGATGTTTGGTAATCCAAAACTTTAGAAGTGCACCGGAGCAGTAACCCTGCAGATGTTGTTGGATACCAAATTCCATCAGCTCAGTGTGAATGTCCTACAGAATGCAGAATGAGAGTGCCTCTTCCCAGATGGTTTACACACAACACTGGAAGACCACTCTGATTATGTCACATTTGTTCATGCAAAGGTTGAAACCATCTACGTATTGTCCTGCAATGCACAGAAACTCTTCCCCAGTGTTTAATAAGCTCTCCCCACATGGATCATAATCTTGACACGTGGCCAGAATGTCTCTGACAGAATCACTCTTTGATTTGCTAGTAACTTCATGGAGAGGACAACGCGTCAGTTAAAACTGGCACAGAGGCTGGATAAACCAGGGAGCCCAGCCAAACCAGAGAGGATTCTGCTCAGGGAAATGCAGCTAAGCCCAATAGAAAAACGTGACAGTTGCCTTGAACCCAACACGCACCAAATCCCTAAATCCACAACCTCAGAAAGACAGTAAGAAGAAAAAAGAACTATGACCAGGATCCAGAACGATTACCGAAATCCATTTGTGCAGAACACGTTGTCTATTGTACTAGTCTATGTTAGCTGTATTCATGTGTCTGCAGTTGTGTCTCCGGCTGCAGAGACTGGGAGGAAAGAAACAGGTCACCCAGTCCTATGCGTCAGAAAGAATGTTGGATAACACCAGGCACAGCCAGCATGGTGGCCAGCAGACGGACTCCAGCTCCCACCAGCCCCAGCCAGCATGGCCAACAGTCAGGGATACTGGGAATTGTAGTCCAACAGTATCTGGAGGGCACCACGATGGCGACTTCTGCATTAGACAAACAACCCAAGTAGCCTTGTTTTTTCAAGGGCAGAATACGTACATGAAAAGTTGAGGCAATTTAATGTAAGGAAGTTCAAATTTTTGACAAGTTTGAAAATTTGGTTGAGGATAATTTAAGATGGCAGTTCTGTCAGCAAGCAATGGTTTCATCACAGCAAGTTTCAAGTTGTGCGGGTGGGAATGATGACAAAGATGATTTATTCATAACAGAAGACTATACAAGCCAAAAGCATACAACAGCTAGACTGGTGAACAAGTTGAATAAAGTTAGTTTCTGGCTTCAAATTTTCAAAACTTTGACCAGTTCAGAGGTGTGCGGTGAAATTTTCCATATGGAAAAACAGTGTCATTGCAATGTCCTGTCACTGCACACATGCAGCATCGTGCCTACTTCCCTACACCTGGCATAAGTTTTCCGGGCTTTGGGAAGGAGGTGCCAAGCTTTGATACTTCAATACTCTTAATTTACCAGGAACATTCAGGAGACTAGTCAAGTCCCCCTAGTCCACTGACCATAGTGGACCAGTTATAAAGATGGCACTAGCTATTTTATAATTGGTTGATGCTTAACTATATCTTTTAATGCACACTGACTTTTGCATAGATAAAACCAGTCCTCATTTGCACTGGCCTCTCACTCGTCTGCATTACAGCTGAATAAAACCATAAACTTAATGGGAAGGCTTCTCACTTGGGAACCTGAACAAGAGTCAGTGTGTGTTCTCCAGGGGTCAGCAAACTTTTTCAGCACGGGGCTGGTCCACTGTCCTTCAGACTATATTTTGAAAAAATATATATGAACGAATTCCTATGCCCCACAAATAACAGAGATGCATTTTAAATAAAAGCACACATTCTACTCATGTAAAAACACGCTAAATCCGCGGGCCGGATTTAGAAGGCAATTGGGCCGGCTCCGGCTCCCGGGCCTTAGTTTGCCTACCCATACCCCACACTATCTTGTATCTGCTGGTGGTGTTGCCAGTGAGAGTGACGTAAACTTAAGCTGTTCCATAGACATGCAAGATGGACATGATTTTGTCTAGATATTAAGACTGTATCAAAATGCCACTGAAAGGCTCTCATACATTGAGAGATGACCCTGATGGACCGAACAGCCTATTTGTTATTCTTCTCTTTAAAAATAACCACCACTACAAATGTGCTTTTTAAAAACCATCACCTACACACACTGTGATCTGCAGAATAATGCAAGAGGGGTGGTGTTAAGAAAGGCCCGTTTACAATTCCAGCAGCTTTCAATTTAAACTTTTGGTAGAGCGAGGGAGATAACAGGAGAGGACAAGTATCGAAAGTAGAAAAGGGAGAGAGGTAAAGTGAGAAGATTTAAAATAAGCATTTCTAAGTTTACAATGCCCCAATATTTCAATTGCCTGTTAAGTTAAAGGACTTTGAAGGTAGAACTAGGCCACAAAAATATAATTCAGTTAAACCTTTATTTCAAGAAGATTCATAAATAAAAATGGAAAAGAGCTAATCCTAATATTCCCCTCAAGAGTATTCATAAATATTCTAATAGCCTCAAAATGAAATATTAATTACCAACCTCAAAGCCAAAGTGTACGTTCCAGGTTGCCGTTGGCTTTCACGAATAAGATAACTTCCCTCTGCTACGCTCAATAATTGATCTGCTTCTTCTCTCGATATCCTCCCATGGAACCTGAAAAACAAAGCCCATCTTCATCACCACAATAAAAGAGTTGTTTCGAGAGAAACGCTCACCAGAAAAACACAAGCCCTCAGCGCTTTTTCATTTTAAAATACAAAAATAGCATCCTTCCTTTACTTTCAAGAAACACGCAGCATACTCAAAGTCAGCCCTGAATACAGTTATGTTAATTTCTCTACTTAGCATGCAGCTGGCCTGATCATTTTCAGCTGGTAGTTCTTAGTTATCAACTTCTTTTTTTATATATAAATAAAGCCTAGGGACACTGCTACCCTATAGGCCAAGTAAATTCTGTTCATAAGGAGCACTTATCAGCTTGATTTACGGAGAGGTGTAAATCTTATCTTACATAGCTTCTCATTTGACATTAAGGTTGCATATCCTTCTCAACAATGAGCCAGACCGACAGCATGCCAAGACCCTAAGGACAGATCTTAAATTCGAATAATCATCTCTGTATACATAATTTACATACATTTCCCCCAGTCATCGGCACAACCCATCTCTCCCTCCAATGTATTTGCTTTCTGTCTATTGACCCAATGGAAACACCTCTACTATAATGTACCATTATTGTCATGGCAAGTTTTTTCTCCTAAACACACACATCACAGTGAAAGTCACCCTGGAAAACATCAATGCAGCGAATGCTGCATGTGGCAAATGTCAATATTCACATCTGAACACTGACAATCCTAGATGAATATTATGAACATCCAAAGTTTCAGAGGCACACCCAGTGAACGCTGACAGTTCCCTCAATGAGATCGTCAGTGTTCACTCGTGTATTTCTGGCAAGTAGGAGCATACGGCAGAGTGTGCTGACCATCACAAAATCTGTCTGGGATGTGAATGTTGACATCCAACAGTGTACATACTGCAATGAACTACGGTGTAGAAAGAGACAATACTGTTATTTTACTGAGATCTGCTTTCCTCCTCAGATACTGCACAAAAGTACACCACTACAGTGGTACCTTGGTTCTCAAACACCTTGGTTATCAAACACCTTGGTTCCCAAACACTGAAAACCCGGAAGTAAGTGTTCCAGTTTTCAATGTTTTTTTTTGGAAGCCGAACGTCTGATGCAGCTGTCGGCTATTATTTCTGGGGTTCCTGCACCAATCAGAAGCCACGCCTTGGTTTCCAAACATTTTCAAACGGGACTTCTGGAACAGATTAAGTTTGAAAACCAAGGTACCACTGTAAAAGCCATATAAGAAATGACAATGAAATTCTGTAAGAGAAAATGCTTTTAACGAAAAGCATTGTACATACAAAGGGCAAACATATAAAGAATGGGAAGTGTGGTGTAGCTAGGCCCTGATCTAAACTTTTCCTCTGCCATAATGCTCTGCAGGTGATATTTAGCTATGTCACTAGCACACCTTCTGATATACTATTTCCCATGTGCAAGAAGTCAACTTTGGGAGTCACAACCAAATAAATAATAATAATAATAATAATAATAATAATAATAATAATAATAATAATATATTTTATACCTTGCCCATCTGACTGGGTTTCCCTAGCCACTCTGGGCGGCTTCCAACAAAAGATTAAAAATGCATTAAAACATCAGACATTAAAAACTTCCTTAAACAGGGCTGCCTTCAGATGTCTTCTAAACATCAGATAGTTGTTTATTTCTTTGACATCTGATGGGAGGGCGTTCCACAGGGCGGGCGCCACTACCGAGAAGGCCCTCTGCCTGGTTCCCTGTAACTTCGCTTCTCGCAGTGAGGGAACCGCCAGAAAGCCCTCAGAAGAGGCCCTCAGTGTCCAGGCTGAACAATGTGGGTGGAGATGCTCCTTCAAGTACACTGGGCCGAGGCTGTTTAGGGCTTTAAAGGTCAGCACCAATACTTTGAATTGTGCTCAGAAACATACTGGGAGCCAATGCAGGTCTTTCAAGACCGGTGTTATGTGGTCTCGGCAGCTGCTCCCAGTCACCAGTATGTAGCCTCCTATTTGCACAAGCTGATCTATAACCCGAAGAAAAGATTTCCAACTTGATTTTACTAATTGTACAAACTTCCCCTAAGTTGCCGACTTTATAGCTCCATAATTTTGAATTCCATGTTACTTGGCTTTGTTGACAACTCAAATGATCTTCACTTGCAAATTTACAAGTCCAACAAGAATGTTGAAGTTCATTAATTCACTTTGGCAACTTTAAACTGCTCTGAAGATACTTTATTTTCAGCCACAGAACTGTAAATTACTTCAATATAAAGGCGTCGAGTTGAACACCAAATGGATGGTTGTGAACCCATGAATTCCAAGAGGAACAAACTATAAATTTTGAGTTAACCAACAAAAATACCCCTGAACAAAATGTGTGAATGAAATAAAAGGTGACTGAAGATTTTTCAACTGCTGAAAAATACACATATCAAAATTCTCCTATGATGTGATTGCTTGTAATCTACTTCCCAATTTCATTGTATGGGGAAAGATGAAAATTGGCTATAAATTTCTATAGCCACTCTAGAAGAAGAAGAAGAAGAAGAAGAAGAAGAAGAAGAAGAAGAAAGACGGGGGCTCTAGTGTGATTTTGCTCCCCACCCTCCTTAAATAAAAGGAAAAAAGAAAAATAACTCACACATTTTACTTTATTGCCACCAATTCTGCCAAATGGAAGCAGGAATATGAAGTAAAGCACTTTGAAGTACAAAACTGCTAGCCTGTCGTCAGATTTGCAGAGAAATCTGACCTGACTACTGAAGATGTGCGTGTCAACATTTCCTTATGTGACCTATTCATGGTCGAGTAAAACTGCCTATGTTGTTGAAACCACCAGTGAATTGCAAAATAACCTCATCACTGTATCCTCGAAGACAAATTGAGATGTTTATGAATCCATTGAGAACATGCAGAGTAGCCATTGGGCAAAGTTTTGATATTTTTGCTCTATTAGACAGCCCTTAGCTTAAGGCAAAAAATTCAGAGCACACTGCATTACTTACTCTCGTCCATAGTACTTCGGTCTATTCTCTACCTATTGAAAAAGAAAAAAAGTAACATCATTTTACCAGAACAATACAGAATACGTAAAAAGTTCATGTTCTCCCTTAATGCACGGTTTATCCTGTAATTAACTGAACAACAGCTAATAGACAAAAGACACAAATACTTTTTATCATTTCTAGATCTTTTTTGCTTACCTAGAACAGGATTTCCTAAGCTTGGGGGTCCAGTTGTTTTTTTGAACTACAATTCCCATCATCCCCGACCATTGGTCCTGCTAGCTAGGGATGATGGGAGTTGTAGTCCAACCACAGCTAGAGACCAAAGTTTGGGAAACCCTGACCTGGAACAAACTTTTTAAGTTGGATACCACAACTTTTAGTCATGAAAATCTCTTAGCTTATTAAAAGGGCCACTTCACAACTTATTTCATGTGGAAATCAGCTGCATAGGTGAAAGTTTGCCATTTCTACCAGCAAGCCACACCTGAATTATATGCACTAGTCTGGAGACCACAGCTGAATACAGTGGTACCTCTAGTTACGTACTTAATTCATTCTGGAGATCCGTTCTTAACCTGAAACTGTTCTTAACCTGAAGCACCACTTTAGCTAATGGGGCCTCCCGCTGCTGTCGCCATGCGATTTCTGTTCTCATCCTGAAGCGAAGTTCTTAACCCGAGGTATTATTTCTGGATTAGCGGAGTCTGTAACCTGAAGCGTATGTAACCTGAAGCATATGTAACCCGAGGTACCACTGTATGGCTATATGGAAGCCACACAGCCTAGGAGGCCCCCACCCAATAGATCCATGCAGAATACCAAAGTTCCCATGAGTAGAACTCCGCTCACAAGACATGGCTGGAGGAAAGTGGGTGATTTTCACTTATTCCTCCTTCTCAATACAACCCCTTCTACCTCCCAAAAATCAGAAGAGTGTGGCAACCAGGGTGCTGAAGGAAGAATCGGCAAGAACAGCATTCTGCCAATAACTCTTCCAGGGAATTGATCTCAGTCCCTTCTGCATAGCAAAGGAGTCCTTTCCCTCCAATGTCACCCATATTAAATAGCTAAGGACATCTGCTGGATCACATAGCCTAACATCCTGTTTCAACCAGATGTCTCCAGGAAGCCCACATGGCGACAATGATTTTCTCTCTCGCTGTTGCTCCTTAGCAACTGATACTGCAGCTGCCACCTGGGCTCGCTCCTCAACAGTTCTGATAATCAAGATGGTTTCTCTTCCTTAATTTATAACTAGTATCTTGTAAACTTTGACTCGACCTTGCGTTTGGCACTGCCTAGCAAAGTGCTCAGTCCAGCCCAGCTTCATGCAGCCTCACAGTTTAGGGGAGCTAGAACAATAAAACAATGAGATAAAACAATAAATTCAAACAACAAAACGAAGCACTAAAAGGAGTTAAGAAATAAAAGGGAAGAGAGGATAAAAACAAATGCTAAGGGTTGGTTCTAGAGCAGAAACTTGCCTTAGAGCTCAAAACCCTGCTTCAAGCATTCGGCAGCCATCTTAAAATGCAGCCTCGCTTTATTGGTAGCCCATAGATCCAATATTCACAAACACGGGGCCTATAATTCTAGAGGCAAGGTATGTGCCTGGGTCCCAAATAAGTAAGAATGAGGGAAGGGAACATGGGGGAGGGGGCACATCTGTGTGCTGGGATGCAGCTTGTATGAGATGTGTGTATGTGGTTCCCCCCACCCCAAGAAGTAACTCAAGAGCAGCTGAGTTCCATGCCTCTGGCCGAAAATCTTTCTCCATGATAAGCCTCTCATGTGTGATTCGAAAATGAGAACCAAATTAGTCTAGCACAGGGGTAGTTTGGCACATAATACTCATTCTGCTCTTGTAAGAAATCCATCTTGCAGTGCGGACGCCCTCATATTTTGAAACTCCCCAACTCTTTTCAATATCTGTTAAAACATTTCTGTTTATCCAGACATTTAGAAGCTGCTGGCGTGTTTTTTAGCTTATTGTTGGTCATAATTTTTTTTTTAAAAAAATACATGTTCTTAACTGCTAATTTTATTGCTTTATCCTTTTTGCGAACCGGTTTGAGGTTTTATCACCATTTTAAAAAGGTAAAGGACCCCTGACAGTTAAGTCCAGTCGCGAACGACTCTAGGGTTGCACGGCTCATCTTGCTTTACTGGCCAAGGGAGCTGACGTTTGTCCACAGACAGTTTTCCTGGGTCATGTGGCCAGCATGACTAAACTGCTTCTGGCAAAACCAGAGCAGTGCACAGAAACGGCGTTTACCTTCCCGCTGGAGTGGTACCTATTTATCTACTTGCACTTTGACGTGCTTTCGAACTGCTAGGTGGGCAGGAGCAGGGACCGAGCAACGGGAGCTCACTCCGTCAAGGGGATTCGAACCGCCAACCTTCCAATTGGCCAGCCCTAGGCTCAGTGGTTTAGACCACAGTGCCACCTGTGTCTCCTTAACACAATTAAGCAGTATATAAACAAACTAGGTTTTTCCTCTAGTTCCTGCAGGCCAATGTGCAAAAACCTACCTACAAGCTGTTAATTCCAGGGAACAAATAGAGGAGATGAAGGGAAAACATTTAAAATAAAAAAAAGAGTGAAGAGGAAAGTAAAACCCCTTAGGATGCCGAAAATATCTCCAGGAACTTATTTACCAGGAAAATCACCCAGCGGCAGTATAAAGGGCTGCTTAGGACAAGGTTGTTTGTGGATACTGTTCACTCAGGCTTGCTGGTAATTAGGGTTATATTAGCATGAAGCTTTACTATACAACAAGAAGGGGGGATATTAATTAATTCAATCATCTGGTTCGCTTGATATCTTTTCATTTAAGATTATTTTAACTCCGTGGCAAGATGCCAAGCTGTGACAGCAAAGGACATCTTACATGTGTGAGTATGCCACATGAACAAACATTCAGCAAGGGAACAACAGTAATAAAGAATCAGGCTTTTTTCTTAAAAAATAATAATAATAAGCCTTGAAAGAAGTTCATATTTCAATTGGGGAGTATTAAATCAGTTGGAGATATGGTCAGTAAAAACTCATATCATCTGTTTCCTATAAAATTACCCTTCTGCTTCAGTGTAAACATAGCACTGTAAAAAAATGTAATTGGATTGATACTTGAGAGTATTAAGATATATTTGATTTAAAGCCTCTCTATATTGATGTCGGTGTCGCTCAAAAGAAGGCTCACAGTCCTGTCTCCCCTAAGCACAACACTTTCTTTTCCGAATGACCTGGGGAAATATCTGAACACACTCTGATAATAAGGTCAAGTAAACAGAAGTGATATTTGTAAAGGCTTACAAATGGCTTAACCCTAGCCAAGAGGCAGCCCTGAACAGACAACGCTCCTTGCCAAACATTAAGTTGTCCTTCTCACATCTCTACTTTTTGGTCTTCTCATCATGTCAGAAATGCTCCTTCATCAATCCCCACCGCCAGTATCAGTATGCTTTTGGGGTAAGGTAAAGGTAAAGGGACCCCTGACCATTAGGTCCAGTCGTGACCGACTCTGGGGTTGCAGCACTCATCTCTCTTTATTGGCTGAGGAAGCCGGTGTACAGCTTCTGGGTCATGTGGCCAGCATGGCTAAGCCACTTCTGGCGAACCAGAGCAGCGCACGGAAACACCGTTTACCTTTCCGCTGGAGCGGTACCTATTTATCTACTTGCACTTTGATGTGCTTTCGAACTGCTAGGTAGGCAGAAGCAGGGACTGAGCAACGGGAGCTCACCCTGTCGCAGGGATTCGAACCGCCGACCTTCTGATCGGCAAGTCCTAGGCTCTGTGGTTTAACCCACAGCGCCACCCGTGTCCCTTTTGGGGGGTTTCCAACAAATCCCTCTAAATTCCTAGTTGGAAATAAAAGTTACGATTTCTTTCAAAAGCATTTCAGTTGAACGGTTACACTAGTTGTTATTATCGGCATCACATTCCAAAAAGTAGTCTAACAAAAAAGGATACTGGGGGCACATTCTGGAATATGGTTGTTTTGACGGCCATTTCTTTAGCTTTATTATTATTTTATCTATGAAAGCATTTCTATGCTGCCCTCTCGCAAAACATTGGGACAGTGTACAGCAATGAAAAAAGAACCATGCAAAAGCAATAATATTGCTTTTTAGTTGGATGCGAGATTGCTATGCCCCTTATTACTGTTGCTACTGAAAGAAAAGTTAATGAAATGCTTTTAAAAGGTTAGGAAAGTAGGTGGCACATATACGTGGAACGGATTTGCTCTGTTATGCAGCAATATGCAGTAGGTTGTCTGTGCGCCTTCTCAGGAGCTATGTCTGTGTAATGCCCATCAGAACATCAGCCATAATGCTAAGCGACTGGGCCTCATTTGGAGAAGGAAAGACCAGGGTTCAGTCCCCTTGATGTTACTGCTGATGAACTGATTAGGGCTATTGCCGCTGACTGGTGCTATCGTGGATTTTATTATATGTTTTTCCGGGAGAGATTTTGAGGTGCATACAGCTTTGGCAAAGATAGGAAACCTGTGGCCATACAGATGATGTTTGACTCTTATGAAACCAACTGGGCTGCTCTGATGAAGTGAAATATCTGTTAAGAGCGCTACTAAAATCCCAATGTCAGACAAGGGAAAGGGAACTGTGTTGTACAGGTTTGCAGCTGTGCAAGAGAAAATTCTTACCAGGGCACTCGTTAATAGGCTAGAAAGCAAAACCTTAATTTATCCTGATCACTACTTATCTTCATGAACAGGAATCAGCATTAGCTAGATAAATAATTAAAATGCCTGCCAAATCAATATTGGCAGAAACTGTAGTTTTCTTTGAAAACGTGGGCCACTTCACGCCCATTGGAGCTTTATTTTTTTTTTCATCCTAGAGCTTTACAGCACATTTGGAAGAATTGCAACTGGCATATGAAAGAGAACAGCACAAAGAAACTCCTATTTAATTCAGTAAATTAATCCTGTTTGTGATCTAAGCGGTATAAGCTATTAAGGCCATGACAGTACTGTGCTCCCCTGTATTTAAGGCTATGTCAAAATGACAAACACATTTCGAAGATTAATTTCCTCTCCCCTTGGGTACATGATGAAAGTGTTGCAATAAAATTTAAAACTTTAATCATTTTCAGCGCCTATTTAGCATGAATGGTGTTTTGTGGCTGCATTATAACAAGTCAAATTTCACGCCGTAGCATATTAAAAATTGAAATTGATGTTGCGCTGTGATCCAGCAGAGCTGGCTGAGGAACTGATAAAACGGTTTGCCTAAAAACATAAAAAGGCTCCTGACGTGGTGATTGGAGCTACCAGGTTTGTAACCTTGAATAGGTGGGCAAGTTCAGATTTGTCCAGTAAGATGAGAGATAAAACCAGGCCAACATATTCTCCCTCCACCAAAGAGATTAGACAGAACTGATCATGTCTACTGAAGGCAACCAGGGGAGAGATCTGGACTCAGCGAACAAGAAATGAGGGCTGCTGGGGCTGAAAGCAACGTGTTCATCATCCACTGCACACCCTGACGTACAATGAGAACTAGTCCCTGAGGATGATCCAAGCATGAAACCCTGTTTATGTGCATGACTCACTTTTGCAGGACACATTTTGGTCATAAGATAGTGCCTCAATGTCTGGGAAGGAAGGTCTGATTGACAAATGGTTGACAACTGGTTTGTTTGTTTGTTTGTTTGTTTTTATCCAGCGAGTTCTGCACTCATTCTCCCTCTCCCTCTCTCTCCTTTCACCCCTTACAAACAATTAATTAATGGCAAAAAAATCTAGCAAATCAGCAGTAAGTGCTGATGTAACAAGATGGACAGGTCAAGGATGGTCAGGCATGATGATGCAAATCATAACAATGACCATTTTTAGTTTAACTGCACAGTGCTATTTTCATAGAAAAAGAGATGCTGGAGCTCACCATGAATTTCTCCCTCGTCGTCTTAGAATGGCAATGGCGCCCACCTGAGAGGTGCCAGAGCTGAGCTCTGGCTGAGAAAAAGAGCTCTAGGATCTTAAAAAAAGCCGAGACATCACCTTGCCAACAAAGGTCCGTATAGTTAAAGCTATGGTTTTCCCAGTAGTGATGTATGGAAGTGAGAGCTGGACCATAAAAGAAGACTGATTGCCAAAGAATCTATGCTTTTAAATTATGGTGCTGGAGGAGACTCTTGAGAGTCTCATGGACTGCAAGAAGATCACACCTATCCATTCTAAAGGAAATCAGCCCTGAGTGCTCTCTGGAAGGACAGATCCAATGATTTGGCCACCTCATGAGAAGAGAAGACTCCCTGGAAAGGACCCTGAAGTTGGGAAAGATTGAGGGTACAAGGAGAAGGGGATGACAGAGGACGAGATGGTTGGACAGTGTTCTCGAAGCTACCAGCATGAGTTTGACCAAACTGCAGGAGGCAGTGGAAGACAGGAGTGCCTGGCATGCTCTGGTCCATGGGGTCACGAAGAGTCGGATACGACTAAACAACTAAACAACAACAACAACATAGGACTGCCCTCACCCTAAGTGCAAATGAGGACTAAACAAAACAGGAATAGTACCAGCTGAGCGGAAGTGATTCTCATGGGTGCCATGGCAGAGGAAAAACGATTTAACCTTCCCCTCCCTGCATGCTGTGGTCCCAGTTGAAAAATGACTTCCTGCTCTTTTCTTGGTATTAAATCTTTCAGAAAATAGAGACATGGTTGCTAATGATGTATTGAGGATCACACCTAGTTTGGTCTCTAAGAGGGCTGCAATAAGAGCCCTGTGCTTTTATATGGTAATTGGAATATTAACAGCATGATTTCCTAGCCATGTTCGGGCAGAGAACTGCCTACAAGCCTGGCTCAAAGGAAACCAGCTAAAGCTTCCATTATGTAGTGGTGAGACTGGGAAAGAGGGACTAAGGGTAATTGGCTTATAAATAATAATAAAAAAAGGGTAAGGAACATTGTGGGAAATTAAAACAGTGGCCACAGGGAATATATATTCAAGGAGGTCCAGGGAAGGCAGTGGTGGCCTGTGCCTGGTCGTGGAGGTTTGCCAGAACTAAACTAAGCAACAACATTCAGTATTTTAAAAAGCCTTCAATTACATTTAGCTTTCACGGTAAACCCACCTCAGATGTGCAGGTAATCCTTCTAGGGTGGGGAGCTTCTTGTTGCAACTGATACACTAGGAAAAGGCAGAGGAAAAATGGATTTCATTTTTATGCTTAAGACTGCAAGGAGGTAAACACTTTAGCATTTCTGTTTGTTGGTATTAATGAAATAGGCATACTTGACAATCGGGGATCTATCTATGCCAACGGTCAGTCAGTTCCTTTGTATGCCACATCAACTATGTTCGAAGCGGCATTCAATACATGGGAAACTAAAAGTATACAATATACCAACTACATGTCAGCAGTAGCTAAACAGCAACGTGGTAAGCTGGAGCCAGATTTTCATTCATGGAAGACTTTTGATCCAAGGGAGAGATTCTGCTGGCAAAGGGAGGGGCGAGGCAACCTTTGCCGATTTCCTCCTCCCACTCCAGCCACCTGTTATCGCCTCCCACCTCATTCTCCAAGACTGGTTGCAATGATATTAGAGTTGATCCAGACAACAACATGATTGAGGAGGAGGGAGGCAGAAGTTAAAACCATGGCTTAGCTCTGTTATGCTGAAAGCTGTTTCAGATATCCTGTCCTGGACACTACAGGTTAGCACCCAACAACTCTCTCTGGATTCTCAAGAAAAGGTAACCGAGCACATTGGAAACATTCAACAGAATTGCATATTTTGGTTGAACCATTAAAAAAGGACAAAAGCTTCACTTTCCTTGCAAAAGGTTATTTTACAGCGATTTATTATTGTTATTTGCAACGGGAGACAACACACATGCATTTCATGGTGACAAGTTGCTGGATGTATGGTTGTTGTGATTAACGATGTTTAATATAAGCGACACAATGAGTGCCCATTTTATCCTTTAATCATCAGCTTGAAGACAAAAAGCCTGCTTCGAGTCACTTTGTGTGTTAATGGTTTTATATTAAGTGACTGGCTTGGCATATGACAAGTGACTGATATAATAAGTTATGACTCGAAAGCTGCACTGTGGGACACTTAAAAGGCTCTGGAGCAGACAAAGGTTCTGACAATAGTGATTATGCGGCAGCAGCTGTGGGGCAGGGGACTCTTAAAGGTACTACGGTTCCTTCGAGGCTCTGAAGTCAAAGCCTGGGCACAAATGAAATGAAATGAAGGTTGACATTAATTTCAATACAGAACAGATTTAAATCATGGTGGGACACTGAACATGAAACGCTGATAATGACAGATAAGTCCTGTTGGTCCAGCTACTCAGTAGCAGGGACAGAAGCCCTTGAGTAAAAACACATTACAGATATATCACCACAAGAACCTCCTAATTCTCTCTCATATATAGATATGAGAGAGATACTGAGAACTACCATATTTACTCAAGTCTAATGCACCATCGACTCTAGTATGCACATCAATTTTCAGAACCTTGAAACCAAAAAAAGGTATTCGCTGGCAAATGTAAACACGCCATCAAGTCTAATTCACACCTTAATTTTCACAATTTGGCCCCAAAAAGTGTGCATTAGATTCGAATATATACGGTAATATGGTGCTATCTCTTGTTTCAACTTTGGGTCTTAAAGGAATACACAAACAAGCACTAGGCACACAGAATTCTAGCTACAAATAAAGCTAACTTTCCTATCGTAAGCCTGGGATTGTGAAAGGTGATTGTCCAATCCAGCATCTTTTCAGGATCTAGGTTTGTGGTGGTTTTTGCCTTCCTCCACTTACTTTCTGATGCGCACACAAATTTATGTGTAGATTTAAAACAGAGAGCAAACAGTTTAATGAAGGTTCCCCCAACTTCTAAATCAGACACCTGGTCAGAAGCAGATTTGGGGATTTTTCTAAAGGGCTTTTTTCGTCCTCAGCAAGAGAGCAAAGTGCAATATCATGAAATCCTCTCATTTCCAAAACGTCATAGATAGCAGCTAAATTTGTAGTATACCAAATTTTAAAAAAGAAAAAAATATACCCTGGTTCAACTGGTTTTAATAGAAGGAAATAGACCGACAAAATCTGTGACATCCATTGATCTTCTTGGTACAGTAAGGTTCAGAACCAGTATCCTAACAATATACTTTCATTCACAGAGTTTCATTCATAGAATTGTAGAGTTGGAAGGGACACTGAGGATCATCTATTTCAACCCCCTTGGTTTCAGATGCTACAGAGCAGAGGGATTCTGAGTACACCACGTTTATAAATTTCAAGACTTACAATTTTCACCATTTAAAAAATATTAACAGTACCAGGGGTAGGGACAAAAGTAACAGAATCAACTACTTACGATAAGATTTCCAAACTGGTGGCCGGTATTCATCAGTATCTGAAAGAATAACGATACTCATTAGTACCCCAGTAGAAGATACTTGAGATAATTTTTTTTAATTGAGAGGTTTCAAATTAACAGCATTATTTGGTTCCATTCAACCCAGCATTGGCAACCTCTGGGCCTCAGGTCTAATTAGACCTGCCAACCCTCCTCATTTTGGCCTGTGGTGCTGTTTTGGCCATGCCACATCACCAGCTGGTCAACAGAACCATGAAAACCCCATGCCAGTGTGATATAGAGAGCCAGTGTGGTGTAGTGGTTAAGAGCGGTATATTTGTAATCTGGGGAACCGGGTTCGCGTCTCCGCTCCTCCACATGCAGCTGCAGGGTGACCTTGGGCTAGTCACACTTCTTTGAAGTCTCTCAGCCCCACTCACCTCACAGAGTGTTTGTTGTGGGGGAGGAAGGGAAAGGAGAATGTTAGCCGCTTTGAGACTCCTTTGAGTAGTGATAAAGCGGGATATCAAATCCAAACTCTTCTTCTCTTCTTCTTCATGCACAGCGCTTTGCAAGGGCTGGCGATCTACCAGTTGCCACAGTTTCCATGCACAACTCTATGCAAAAAGGGTTACCTGACATCACTGTGACATCACAGTGGCTCAGCCCACATGTCAAACTTTTCCTGTGGGGGTGGGTGGGAAAGATAAGGATCCGCCCCCCCCCCCGCAAGAGTTCAGCTCCAATTCTATGGCTCTATGACTCCCCACCCTGACTCAGCCATTCCATTTTTCAAACTGATTATGCATAGACAGATCTTGGGGGCGGGGGGGGGGGAAGGTTCATTTTGCCCAAATGTATTCAGTTTAAAGGGACTCCCAAATATAACAGTTAAAAAAAACAAGAAAGCGAAAGAAGGAAGATACAATGAGGAAGGTACAACTATGACAAGAGCTTGAAGCAAAATGTTCTTGTTCAACTGTTGGTTGCAAATTAACGAATTGTAAGACAAATTTAAGGTTTCATACCTATAAAGAAAGCACTGGTAACTTCATTTTAATCAAAGTAGAGATCGTATGTTTAAGACATTGCGTAAGTTGTTTCTTCCTGATCAGGATGTGAGCATTCTCTGCTAGAGAACTCCCAAATGGCATCATTTACAGATGCCTGCAGCTATGGCTGAGCCCAGAGACTCTGGTTCGCCAGAAGTGGCTTAGTTATCCTGGCCACATGACCCGAAAACGGTACACCGGCTCCCTCAGCCAGTAAAGCGAGATGAGTGCCGCAACCCCAGAGTCGTCTGTGACTGGACCTAATGGTCATGGGTCCCTTTATCTTTTAAAGTCACATGACCCATGACAGACACTCACCACTTCTTACTTTCAGAAAGATGGGATTTTGTTCAGATTCTTAAAATATATTTTGCAACTTTCCAGTTATTGTTTATGTGAGTTCAGTGTGCATTAGTGTTGTGTGCATGCACATTAAGACACCTTAAATCAGCTAGAAACATAGAACTGTAGAGTTGGAAGGGGCCTTGAAAGTCATCTAGTCCAACCCCTTGCTATGCAGGACTCTCAGCTAAAGCATTGATGGCATTAGCTCAGTTGGTAGAGCATGAGATGCTTGATCTCAGGATTGTGGGTTCAAGTCTCACATTGGGTGAGAGATTCCTGTATTGCAGTGTTTCCCAAACTTGGGTCTCCAGCTGTTTTCGGACAACAGTTCCCACTGTCCCTGACCAATGGTCTTGCCAGCTAGGGACAATGGAAGTTGTAGTCCAAAAACAGCTGGAGATCCAAGCTTGGGAAACACTAGTCTACATGACCCTTTTGGTCTCTTCCAACTCTAGGATTCTGTGACAGGTGGTCATCCAACCTCTGCTTAAAAACCTCTGCTTCATTAACCTCCAATGAAGGATAGTCTACCACCTTCCAAGGGAGGGACTAAGATGGATCAGTGTTCAGGAAACCAAGCCTTATGAGGAACGGTTGTGGGAGCTGGGTATGTTTGACCTGAGTGGAGATAAGATAGCAATCTTCAAATATCTAAAGGGCTGTCACATGGATGATGGAGCAAGCTTGTTTTCTCTTGCTTTGGAGACCAGGACCCAAACCAATGGATTCAAATCACAATGAGATTCCAACTAAACATCAGGAAGAACTTTCTAAGAGTAAGAGTGGAATGGACTTCCACAAGAGTTGGTGAACTCTTATTCCTTGGAGGTTTTTAAGCAGAGGTTGAAGGGCCATCTGTCATGGATGCTTCAGTTGAGATTCCTACAATGCATGGGGTTGGATAAGATAACCCTCAAAGTATCTTCTAATTCTACAAATTCTATGATTATATGAATTCAAATGATACCTCCTCCTGATCTGGCAGTGAGATTCTTCTGCTAGGTCAAAAGTCTTCTGTGGGCAGGAAAAAAAACCCCTTCCATCTGCAGATGGTGAAGTCTGGATCCATCCCAATGCTTTTCAGTGGGGAACAGTTTGTACTAAGAGTCATCAAGTGAAGTACATTCACATGTGAACCGGCCTTAACTTGGTGAAACTCAAGCAACACTTTTAATTGAACTTCTAGAGAAGGCTGCTTTGGCAGTGCTTGGATATTCCTACTTTACTAGCAACATATGCATGGAAATGCATTTTACAAGTAAATTATTTAGGTGAGGAACCATGTGTTCAACTGTATAAACAGACAGCAAGACTGCAAATAGCTTTTGGCTGGGCTAGCAACACTACGGATACATCTTCATTACGAGAAATAAAGATGACTTAACGGAAAAGACTATTTTTCACCAGAGCCAGAACATCTTGATTAAATCTCAACCAAGAAGCAAGAAAACTTCGCATATAAGCTAATATTTATAATTCGGAGGCTGAAGGAGTGATTTATGCCATGCAGGTGTTCCAAAATGTTTTTGTATTAAAGTACTGCTCTCGTGGTTTTTGTGCAACCTCAAACATCCACGCTGAAGAAAAAAAATACCAAAAGTTATCCTAGAAACATATTACATCAGTGATAGCTAAGCAGAAGCGTTTTATAGTATTTTTCTGCGCCTTTTACAGGGTGCTGATATATTATTAACAGATGATTGAAGTTCCACTTCTTCGTTTTCTTTTAAAATGATGAACCTGATGTAATATTCCAAAGCACAGCGACAGCTGGGAGACCACAAGATTGGCACATGAGGCCTCTCTAATGCTGGGACTTTTCGAATGCTAAATAATAATAATAATAATAATAATAATAATAATAATTATTATTATTATTAATATCCCGCCCTCCCCAGCAAAGGCTGGGCTCAGGGCGGCTAACAAGCAATAATAAAAACAAGTTGAATGAATACAACTTAAATACAAGATTAAAATACAACATTAAAATATTTAAACATTAAAATATTAAAATGCAGCCTCATCACAAGAGGAGAAAGGAAAAAGAAAGAGGGGGAGGGAATCAAATTGGCTCTGAGCCAAAGGCCAGGCGGAACAACTCTGTCTTACAGGCCCTGTGGAAAGAAATCAGATCCTGCAGGGCCCTGGTCTCATGAGACAGAGCGTTCCACCAGGCCAGAGACAGTGTTGAGAAGGCCCTGGCTCTGGTTGAGGCTAATCTAACTTCCTTAGGGCCCGGGACCACTAGGGTGTTGCTATTTATGGACCTTGAGGCTCTCTGTGGGGCATGCGGGAGAGGCGGTCCCATAGGTACGAGGGTCCTAGGCCGTGAAGGGCTTTAAAGGTCAAAAACAGCACCTTAAATCTGACCCTGTACTCTACCGGGAGCCAGTGCAGTTTGAAAAGCACTGGGTGAATATGCTCCCATGGCAGAGACCCCGTGAGGAGCCTCGCTGCAGCATTCTGCACCCGCTGGAGTTTCTGGGACAGCTTCAAGGGCGGCCCCGCGTAGAGCGAATTACACTAGTCAAGCCTGGAGATGACCGTCGCATGGATCACTGTGGTCAGGTCGGGGTGGGGAAGGTAAGGGAAAGGTAAATGATGGTCTGCAGCACCTACGTACCATTGCTGGCATGCTGACACTGAAGAAAAGCCCTACTGAGAGGTGTGAGCGTTAAGACAACAATGGAGATAGGGCCATTAGGAACACATGGAGAGGCAGTAGAGTTGCTAAACCGGCAAACACCTGACCAGGTGACCACTAAACCGAATTTATCCTGGTAATTTAATTTTAGCCTCCTGGACTGATTAATCGAAACAAGAGATAATGGAGAGGGTTGCATTTACATATGAACCAAAACAGAATTAAATGAAAGGCAGGAGGATTTCAGGAGCTAGGATGCTGTTCTTGGAGGCACACTGTGCATAAAGGCGAATTTGGGACAATCGTTTTCTGCTAAGGATAGCAAAACACTGGCGCACAATATTTGCAGCATTTAGAAGACCTTAACTCAACCCATAGCCATTAGGGAGGTTGAATTATATGAAGGGAGTGCTTGGTATTGCAGCAAAATCAGGAAACAAAGGGCTTAATAATATTTTAACAAAATTTAAAGGTCATTTGGTGTTTTCTTCAACTGCAGTGAATGGGCAGGGAAACAAAGCAAACTTATGTGCCCACCGTTTCCTTTGTCTAGCACATAAAAAAGACAAATTAATTTCCACAAGTGACATGGGTTTGCGCAAAATTTGAGAGAGATGTCTTTTGAATAATTTTAAAACAAGGAAGTGTTGGAAGGTTCTCTAAGGTTAACGTAAACCTTTGCCTCTTATCTGAATTATTTTGCTTTCCCATTTAATCTCAGAAGCTGTTTTATGGTTTTGTTAATACAAACCCCCCCCCACACACAAAAAAACCCTAATCTCCTTTCATTTAGGATTTTCTAATACATTAAGCACTAGAAATATTCATGCAGTGTTAACAATGGGTTTTAATACATGGCAGAAAAGAAATTAAATATTACAGTCTCAAGGAAGCCATAATTCAGGCCCCTGAAGGCATATACAATAATCTGTATTAGTACAATGGGAATAATTAAAAATAAAACATTATTTTGCAAAGAATTTTCTGTTGGAAGACACCCTGCCACTGAGAACTGC